TTAGCTAAAAAAGAATTTTATCATAACATATTGTAAGAAATGTTCTTTAAAAACGTGGCAACTAATTAATAGACTGCCAAATAATAAATTGGATTTGACAGACCTTAGGTCTTTAAAAAGCAATACCTCCAATGGTCAAATCTCAAATACTAAAGAAATTTGTGAGTATTTTAGCAGATTTTTCTCCACAATAGGCACTGAACTTGCAAACAAAGTACCGCAAAAATACCACAAAAATTTAATACAAACACTGTCATACAAAAAAACTAAAAACAACAATACTGAATTATCAAAACTAAACCCAACGACCACAGACGAGGTACTGAAAATAATAAAAGACCTAGATTCTAACGCTAGTTCCGGCTTAGATGGTATTTACACAAATTTCTTAAAGTGTTTTAAAGACAATATGGCAGAAAACCTCATAATTTGTTTAAATAAATACTTTAGTTGCGGCTATTTCCCAAACACCTTAAAAACTGCAAAGGTTAGTCCTTTATTGAAAGCCGGAAGCAAACAAGACCCAAACAATTATCGGCCTATATCGGTACTTCCGGTAACGTCGAAAGTGCTTGAAAAAATACTATATAAACAACTATATGACTACCTGACTTCTATTGATTACCTCTATAAAAAGCATTATGGCTTCCGCCCAAAATCTAATACTGTATCTGCAACTGTTGATTTAGTAACCAACATTAGGTTAATATTGAGCAGAAAAAAATTACATTTGATATTTTTATTGATCTAAAAAAAGGCTTTGTCTATTTGCTCCTGTCATTAAAACTAAAAGACATAGGTATCACAGGAAAGGCAAATGATATTTTGAAATCGTATCTTTCTGATAGACTTGAAATTGTTAAAATTAATAATCAGCAAAGGTGGTTACCCAACCGGTTACTTATGGCATTCCACACGGATCAATATTGGGACCCTTGTTGTTCCTTATTTATGTAAACAACATATATGAAATTGGACTAAAGGGAGATATCACTTTATATGCTGACGACACTAGCCTCTTCTACTTTGGCCACTCATTAGAATCAGTACTAAGAGAAGTTCGGCATGACCTAAACATATTACACACCTGGTTACAATCAAAATTACTAACAATTAATGCCTCAAAAATAAAATACATAAAGTTTTCTGCAATAAATCAAAAAATTAAAAGTCACAGTCCTCTTACTATTGATGGTGAAATACTAACTTAAGTTAATAACGAGAAATGTTTAGGCCTTGTTCTTGAAATTCAGCTAACCTGGAAACAGCATATTGAAAATATCCATAATAAAATCTATTCATTACCAGGGGCTTTAAAAACAATAGTTCAATGTCTCCCGAGACATGTCAAATATACCATATATAACTCTTTGGTCAAGCCTCATTTAGATTATTTGATTGAGGTATGGGGCTCAGCCACTAAATAAACCCTGCATAAACTACAAGTAACACAAAATAAAATCATAAAAATATTATTCCAATATAACTATTTAACACCTACCATTCAAATATATAAAGAAACAAAGTGATTAACCTAGTCCAAACGTACAAATATAAAATTTGCATTTTTATTAGAAAAATACTTACTAAAGATACTCACTCTCTAATAACATTTACAAAAAAGATAGATTACCATAAACGTATGTTAAGGCAGGCTAATAAACTATGTTTGAGAATACATAGTACAAGCTATGGAAAAAGGAGTATCCTCTACGAGGGAGCTCAATACTACAACAAATTACCTAAAACATTAAAAAAGCAAAATCTCTGCCCACTTTTTAGATATTACTAAAAAGCCACATTTTAAAGGATTTTTCACAAACCACTAATCTAAATATATGAAGTACACATATAACGTAAATAATAATATTTACCATAAAACAATTGTATAGAAATAATACATTATATTTACTTTTATACATGTGCGACAATATAACTTGTGTATATATACTCGCATGTATGTATGTGTGTGTGTATATTATGTGTATGTGTGTATATATGTATATATATGGGTATAGCGACCTATTATAATACTACTCACTACGCCAATCGGCTTAATGATTTTTTTTAATTAATAAGTATTTTCTCTGTAAGTGATTTGTAAATCCTTTGAGAAAATAAATGTCTTAAACCGTAAAAAAGGAAAAAAATCGAATTGAGTACTTCCTCCTTTTTGAAGTCAGTTAAAAAGAACTTGTTAATAGTGATTTCTATTGAAAATTTGCGATATAATTTTGTTCGTATCTGAGAACAAGGCTACTTTTATATCATTAGACCTTAACCCACCATCTTTTACCTTCCGACAGTATTATAAATCTGTCGCAGTGCTCGAAAATAGGCTCTAAATACATCACATTCCGTTTATTTATATACGGTCAATGCAAGGAGTCCTACTTACGCCTATACCCTATCAGTCGTTCAGTATTAGTTAACATTATATAGACAGTGCTCCTTCGTGCGGGATCAGAAGTCAGATCTCAGTACTTTTGGGTTAAGGCTCTTAATGTATCCTTAATTTAATTAATGAAAAAGTATATTTTTATACCAGTGTTAAATTTTTTCACATAACCTGTGAACCTTACACTTCTAAATAGATAAAATAGACGATTTGTCATAATCGCCACATTTGAAAATCAGATTAGCGATCATAGTACAAGGAGTTTAGACATATCCTCAGTCTGGAGATTCAGGATTAACACAAGATAGTTAAAACTACTCTAAAAGATAATAGTAAATCGTAAAGGAAACGAAATATTAAAAAATTTAAAAAAGACAGAGCCGCAAGAGATTAAAATTATTTTAACTTTCAATTTTAAACATTTTAACCGAGTACTCGCCAGTTAAAGAAAATATAGTGAGTAAACAGTAGATTTGACACTTACGGACCGATAAAGAAAAAAATTTACGAGGCCTGCAAGACTTAATCAGTACTTAAAATTCAGTTGTATATGTGATTGGCATTACTCTACTAATGCGTGTCGTGCATTAAGCGATTAATCAATTTGCGACTATTTGATCGGCATTTGGTATTGCTACTTTAAATCATTTCATATTTTTCGTAGAATAACAAAATGAACAAGGCACAATAATTTGAATTTGCATTAATGAAAGTTAAAACATAAAATGTTTATTTTGTGTTTTAACTTTATCTTAACTTTATTTTATATATTAAACACATCACTTTTATCGTGTAAATATTTAATTAAATTACTATACTATAGTGTGGTCCTCTATGTTGAGAGGAGTAGGGTTAGTAACTTTGAGGACATAGGCTTATCTATGTCCATGGTGGGCGTGGCTTTTTAAGCGCGCTCACCATCCGTAATTACTTCCTGACGAGATCGAACGATTCTTTCTATAAGGACATCATTTCTTGTGATTACGGGCTTACCCCTCTTTAGCCAACCAGCAATGGCAAGACGCGGTAGTATAGAGCGATTTCGTATGGAAAGAGAGAGAGAGAGAGCTCTACGGCCGGTTCTACAAGGCTCTACATGAGACACACAATTTTACCTTTATACTTTAAACGAGCTTAGTACCGTCATAATAAATAAAATTAAAAAAATTGAGGTGGAGCACCGTCATGTAGAAAATAAAAATTATTCATTAACGCTACAGGTATATCGTCTAGGAAATCTTGAATAACAACTTGCAACATTTTCAAATAATTACCACCCATAATGGTCTTTCAGTGAAGTATTGGCCTACAATTATGTAATCAATATTTCCGCCCCAAACATTTACAATAATTCGCACTTGATTATAACTGTCTTTTATAAGGCGTGGGTTGGATACTGCCCAATAATATTTGTTACGACTACGGTTTCGTCACTCCACATAATTATCAATGTTTGACAACAACCATACACAAAAATGTTTTCGAGGTAGACCATCGTTATTGTTCAATGTTTGCACACGTTGGTAATGAAATGGGTGACTTCAAGAATAATTGAGTAATTTCCACACGCAGTACTGGCAGCTGCATCATTGGCGCTAACGCGAGGGTTTCTATCGAAAAATTCGATCACTACGTTTTTGACAGCCGGACTTATTACTTAATGACCACATCGAGCACTTGCGTGTGACGTAGTGTTAAACTGTCCAAAGTCTAACAGCTTTTTGTGTGCTGCCAAAATTGTACTACGATTGGGTGGTACACGTGCGTTATTTCTTTGTCTTTGCAAACGCGGTAAGGACTCACTTTCGTATAATCTTTGCGCACCACGTAAACTTTCATTGCTTAAAATGTAATACCGTACCATTTCATAGTATTCGCGGTTCGAATATTTTCATTGCGTCATTTCTAACGAAGTGACAAGTAATACTACCTACGAAAATTTTAAAGTAGCACACTCGTACGTAATGAGATCACGGTCAAGTCATAACTGTTGGCGGGCCGGACGAATGTTCATAGCGGTGTAACGACCACGCAAGGAAAAGGGCAGGGAGACGCGTTTGGTCTTACCAAGTCAAAACAACTATTAGATACCTAAATCTGTGATCGAGCGTGATGGCCGAACTTCACCGACTCCTTCCGAATTCAACACTCCCTTCCGAATGTGTGTGTGCATTATAAAGTAGTAGATGCTACATATTTATGAATGATAATTAGTTAAAATAGTGCTTTTACACACTTTTAAATATAAAAGATAAAAAGGACAAAATATTTCAGTTTCTTTTTCGTATGTTTTTTCAGCGTTCGCTTATGTTACTTATTCAGAACCTCCTCTGCAAATTTAGCCGTATATTACAAAATAACCCTGTAGATTATATACACCATATCCAGACATCATATACAGACTCTAAACTCCGCAAATAGTAGAGTTATTTTAATTTTGTATATATCTTTGAGACGGCTATTATGCCATCTATTTTAAAAATAACACTGTATAAGATATAGGTATACAGATTCTTTTACGCTTCTATCCCGTTCTGCATAGTAAAAAATAATCCATAAACAATAGTTTTATAAACAATGACAAAATAATTATTGATTTCAGGGAGATAGTGGAGGACCGTTGTTTTCCACTCATTCAAGTACGCGTAATACAAAATGGTATCAAATTGGTAAGTTGTAAATATTATCCTTATTTAAAATATGCCACTAAAACTGTAAAATTAATGACAATTCGGTAAGTTAAGCCTAAGTTATTTGAAACGTAACGATAAATAAAAAACCTATATAATTTTCATGTAAATGTATTTCCATCCATCCCTCTATTACACCCTATAAAGGCAAGAGCTAAACATTGGCCCATAAATTACCACATAGGGAGTATTTTGCCTTAGTAGCCACGTTTGGCAGGTGGGTTGGCAACTGCAGTTTTATTATTATTTTGAGTTGTTTTCAGGACGATGATTACTATTTCCTATTTAAGTGTCTCTCTGTCGCTTCTTACGACATCCACGGGACGATATGGGGTAATGGATATTCTTACACAGTCACTACACGGTGGGTAAATAAAATGTATTTACCTAAGTAATAGTAATTGGAACCACTGTCATAGTAATAACACTTACGCTTGTCACCGGGAGGGATAGGCAGAGACTACAGACTTCCATTTGGCACGATTCTAGCATATCTCTCTCGCCTTCTTCACATCCGCATGCCCGTCGATTAAGGGTATTCTTAATTTGGATAAACTTTCGTCTAAATTATCTCATCCGGTCAATACTGCTACACAAAATCGTTCTAATTCTGCCACACCCAACTTTCACTAGACTGTGTTGTTATGAGAGCTTACTCAACTTTTTCTGCCGCCACGGCGGAGCGACTTTAGAATGATGTGAAATATTTGACACATGGCGTGGAAGTTATATTGTTAGAAAAGTGTAAAGCTAATAAATATAATAAAATAATAATGTTTCTTTGTGAAATATTTGAATTACATTTTGTATTTATTAGATTAAAAATAGATAAAGCACACTACGGATATTCCTAAAAAAAGAAGAATTAACAAAGAGTCAAAAATGTCTGAAAAATTAAAGAGCATAGAACTGAGGATTTATTTTGTGTATATGCATAAACTAGAGACCAAAACTTTTTCATTTGAAACGCAACTTTTTAATAATGTTGACACTGTGTGACCATCTGTCTGAATAAAAAGTTCACCTCAATTCCATGAGTTAGAATCAAGGGGTGGATCAAAATCAGTTATTGTGTTTTCTGTCAGAAATTCTCTGTAACACAAGTCGTAGGTCCTGCACATGGTCTCTTTCTGGTCGCGTCGAATTGCCCTTTCATTGGACTTTAAAAGTAAGGGAATATAGAGGGCATACACTATAATCTTATTTTGGTAGATGGTTTGGACAAATTTAAGCAAAATATATAAACTGAAGTAGAAGATATTATGTTACATAAATTAAACAGAGACGAATGAATAACTTCTTTAATTTATTAAGTCGGTTAAAACATTTAAGTTCGCTTACATTTTTGTGTTATATAATTTAGAAAAGATCAACAGAATATTAAAATATTGGTTACCTTGACAGGAATCGTATCTTGGGGTATAGATTGCGCTTTGCCGGATTATCCAGGTGAGCACCAATACTATTAAGTGTAAATAAAGATTTTTAATTAAAAAAAAATTTGAGATGTTGAAAAATAATTAGTTAAGATTCGCACAACATAATAAAATTATGTGGGAGGAGTGCTTTGTGCACTGAGTGCTGTGTAAACCGCACTCAGTAGAGCACTCACACCGCGGGATCTTCGGCGGTGTGTTGCCCCGTCATTGAGAGTTGAGGAGGATATAAAAAGAGAGCCTAAACGATTTTTTTTACTTATTATAAGCCAGTGCTTGACCACAATCCCACCTGGTGGTAAGTGGTAATGTGGCCCTAGATGGTAAATCGCACTGTCTAAGCATAACAAAAGCCTATTCACTCTTGCCTTGAAGACCCCCAGATTGTATTCGGACGGAAAGATAGAAGCCGGCAAATTATTCCACTCCTTTGCTGTATGCTACTATTACAAAATACGATGCAAACCGTTTGGTTCTAATTCGTGAAATATCGACAACAAAGGAGTGAAGACCCGCAGACCACCTGGTTGTCCGATGGTGGAAAATCCTGTGCACTCTCACTGAAATGCATCCTATTGAATATCGAGACTGGCTATTCTGCGCCTGTGCTCGAGGTTGACAAGATTGGTTTCAACTAAATAATTGTCACCAATGAGCCTCTTAGCACGTCTTTCCACTGAGTCCAACGCTGCCAGGTAGCATTTTGCAGCACCAGCCTATATTTGACAGCAGTACTTCATGCACGACCGGACTTGCGCTTTATATAAGGTAAGAAGCTGCTCCGGCGTGAAGTACCGCCGCACCCTTGCAAGGACACCAAGTTTCCTGGAGACCGCTTTGGCTCTGGACTCAATTAACAGGCCATAGTTGAGGTTCGGAGAAATTTCATTCCTTAACAATCGGCTTTCTCCTTTGCGGCATGGGCCAGTGATTCATCCTCCCAATGCAAAGATGGATGAAATAGCTGACAGAAGTTCTCTTGGACAGACTTGGCAAAAGACCATAAATAAATTAGAGAGAGTGAGTTTCGATTTGAGTTTTGTCATTCAACGAAAGACGAAAGGCACCAAATAATTCAAATTCTTATTTTTACAATGTATTTAGATAACTCCCACGTAAGTTGTTGTATGCCACAAAATGTCGTTTGGCGGTTTCACTGAAAACTATCCTAATTTGCATTATATTATGCATTCAAAGTGAAAATATTGCGTAAGCACAATTTTTGAAAGTTTGCTAGACGTGAATTGTTGTAACTTTCGAACGAGAACGAACTAAAACATTGTATAGACCGTTGCAATAGTTTGCGCGAGATGAGGGGCGAGGAGAATCACGCGCTCGCGTCTCGTATTGGTCACATACAATAAACCACGCCGGACTTATGGTCGCGCTTAGAAAACATTCAAGTAGGAAGCATTCAAGTTCTCTAAAAATAATTTACGTAATTAGCAGTAATTCAAACAAATAACAATGAAATGTTCTTTAATATTAAGTACAGGGCGTAGAATATGTGATTTAGTCAATAATTCGATTACACAAAATAGTAACTCCGAAAACCCCATTGAAATTAACAATGTTTCTTAGATCACTTCTTTAGAATTAAACAATTTTCATGATTCAAACCTCCAAAATATCACAGGTATGTTTTTTTTTTTGTATTATTTTTTGGCATTTATTTGGCATTAATTTGTATTGTGCCTTGTTTTGTGGTTATATCCACTTACAATGTTGTATATATTACTTACAATAGTTTACGTTGTTGAACGTTCATTAAAAATGTTGTTACATACAACCTTTTAGGTTTAGGTTGTATATGATAAATACTACATTTTACTTCGGGAGTTTTTATTCAAAACTTTAATGTATGATGACATGCTATACTTTACGTAGCTATTACTTTTTCTTACTTAAATTCAATGTTGTATGACTAAAGTCTTATCTAAAATTTTGTCTTAGAAGCAATAAAATTAAAACTTTATAACTGTTTCAGTCTCCATTGCCAATAAGTTTTAATGAATCAGAACTAAATAGGTTGGCAAATATAATAAAAGGAAACATCTTTAACAATAACTTAGAAGTAGCAGAAGGTTTTGATACTGCAAATCTTGAGACACCACACCCTTCCCCCACTTGTAGTATCAATAACTTGGACTACAAGTGTGATAATTATTTCTACCCACATTATAATATGCAAAAGGAAAATTTATCAGCGTTCGATATTTCACCTCAACCCTAACCAGCATGTCTTTCTAGCTGCTTGACGTATACAACAATGAAGAATAGTACACTGTCGGATATTTCAAATAATAGTCCCAGCACAAGCGGTTACTTTCTACAATCAAAAAAAGATAAAGGGAATGTAAAAAAAAGACATTTTAATGAGAAGATAGATAATAGTAGAAAGTGTTTACGTAATTTGAGAAAAAATTATATCTACCGAGAAAAGATAAAATAGAAGCAAGTAAAATAAAATGGGCCCACCATGTCGCTACCGTAAGAAGTATTCTAATAAATTAAGAGAAGAAGAAAGAAAGAAGATTTTATCTGAGCTGAAGCTGAATCTATCTTTCTCATTTTATTCAAAATATGCAAAGTTAGAATTTAGATTCTGGTTTGATAATTATGCCTGTCAGAACCACAATCGCATTGTGTTTGCGTTTTATGTCTACGTTGCATATAAACTTAAGATTACTATAAAACATATCTTTCTCGAAAAAGGGCATACCCAAGCAGAAAGTGACAGCGTTAACACTTTAATAGAACGTTCATCTAAAAATGAATTTATGTATACCCCTCTCGAATTGTTTAGCTTGGTAAGATGAGCGAAACTAGATGAAAATCCATATAACGTCATAAGGATGAAAAATACCGATTTTTTTTTTATTATAAAGAACTTTTGAATGGGCGTAATTGATGAAAAAATATAAGAGGAAACGTAGTTAAATGGAAAAAATTAAAGAAGAAGTGCGGGTATGTGCAGGAGATCTTTTTAAAATTGACTATCGGTACGATGTGGCAATTAGTAATGCTATAACGATTGCCATTAATACAAATACCTCAAGACGCCAAAAAATAGTATGACTGAGCTATGCCCTCTCTATTGCAACCATCTTCCCTTAACAAAAGCAATATATGATGATTTAATGAGTCTCTGTCACAGTGAAATTATTAACGAATTTTTCAGGAGTCTATCATGTTGCAGGCTCTCATAATGATGTTAAATTTTCGGATTCAGAGTAAATCTTTTCTTTTTTAACTGATTAAAATTCTTTTAATTATTATGCATGTTACGGCCTACGGCTGCTCCCTTAAAGGGTCAAATCCTCAGGGGCCCATGAGCGGAAGACTTCCCGAGCAGACGTAGGTCGGGCCTCAATGTGGCCACGTGGAATCTCTCTAATTACACTAAATATATGGGGGAGCGTTCTATACTACGGCCAGTCAACCGGCAGAGGAATTAGGCGGAGCTTACTTACCTATATCCAAGGCGACTGGTCCCTCCGGAGTCGGTCAGGTCACATGTGGTTGTGTAGTGAAAGGGAAAGAAGGAGATGTGATGTGTATCTGGGTGTGACTACGGGTGATTGAACCTAGACCTTGGCCGTCGGCAGCAGCCCGAGCGTCGACACCGCACCAACTTGAGGGGGCCTTCCGAGGCGTTGTCCAAAATGCTGCACCGCTTCAGACTGCTTCGGCGCCGGACCACAGTCACTTTCCTCGTTCGTCACGATGACAGTCAATTAACTCTATCGTACGATTTACTAACTTACAGAAGCCACTAACCATCGCTTGTTATAAGGTTAACGCACAAAACGCACACGGAGTTTACGGATCAAAGGTCACTACCGTTTCGCGTCGCAACAGTTAGTTCTAGAATATCAGGCCGCACTAGCTAATATTGCCAAATGCACTTATGCCGATTCTGAGTCAGACACAATGTGTCCCTGGGAAGCTCTCCAGTAGGGATGCGCGTCACCAATCCTAGACCGTATATTTACTGTCCGCGCTTAATTATTCCGAGTTCCCGACAAAAATGACAGCGTGCTGTTCCAAGCACAGCTGGCAGACGACTACTTTTTCGCTCGCGACCCGCGCGCCACTTGCCACGCTCGGCCGAACTTCAAACCGGTATCGCCCAGAGCCGCGCACCCCCTAGACGTCGATTCCGATAACCAGTATTTGGCGCGAACAAACCCCCGTCCCGGACATAAGGATTTAGGTCCGCGAGCAAACCGGTCAGCGGGACAAGGTCGATACAGCAAGTTGTAAGACCGAATCTACAACCAAACTAGGCCACCTTAGGCAACCCATCAGATCTTGCAACCCTAACCAACGCCTCAAAAGATAGCCCTAATGTGGCAAGCCGGAGGGTTAGCCTCCACTGGATGCCCCTCCTGGGCATCGCAGCACTTTAATAAGTCCTGTACTGGACAGAAGTCCGACGACCTCTTTCAAACACCTATCTGTGCCCCTATGATTAGTTCCGCAATCCGACCGGATCAGCTCTGCAAACAGCGACGCTACACGAAGCTGCCCAGACAAATTTTGTGCCAGCAGTTGCTTCAGTGCAGAGCGCACCCACAAATTCCACATGAACGTCGTCTGTGGAGAGCCGAAAGAAACGCACAGATAATCCCTAGTATGAATTTTCAACAAGTAGGCCTAGCCAAGCCATCCACCATATTATCATTTACTAAAATCGTGCGGCAGCTGATTTCAATCTGATAATCTCCAAAACTAGCTAGCCTGTTAGACAAGTAGTCCTATGCTCATATTTCAACTAATTTTTCAAAAGCATCAATGTTCAACTACAGATTCAATTCAACCAAATTAATCACCGATGCGCATAGGTCAACTTGCAAATTAAACAAAACAATAACGTAAGGGACAGCCCTACTTCTTCGCAAAGCAAAATGATTAAACACTATCATAAACATATACATAATTTTACAAATAGCGCGCCATTCAATTTCAAATGAATTCAAATTTTCCTTTCAGCAAACAGACGCAACAATC